CGTCACCTGAGACCTTAAAGGGACCGGACATCCTCAATGCAAAGTACTGTGAATTCAAAAGAAACACAAAAGGCGGGTAAAGAGGGACAAAATTAACAAGGTAAGTGGTCTCGTTCCCCCACCCCCACCTAACCCCACCCCTATAGGTCCCATCCATTCGTTATTTTCAGGCCGACCTTTGGAGTGGAAGAAGCCCAGGCCCAAAGTATCCTAGAGACCTGAGTTGGAGTCTTGACAGATCTGCAGTTTACTAGCAATTTACCAAGGCTCCACTTTCTCGTCTGTAAAATCGGCTTAACTTTACCAACTGCCAGGGACTGAGTACGAGTCTAATCTACCCTAAAGTGCTGTACAGATTGTAAAGCCAGTGTGGGAGCATTTTACTCCTCCTCATATCCTGGACTAGTTTGATGCAAACCTTTTGGGGAGAAAATCCAACATGTGCCCACTAAAATACTCCTCACACAACGCTGTTACATAAATAATCAATGAGAACTGATACCGCCAAACCCAGGCATTCAGGCCTGTGTGACTTGTTGAAGGAGATGAAAAGAGAGAGGTTGAGTTGCAACAAATATTTGGTGCCAGACATGTGTGAGGTGCCTTTACAAGTGATATTTAATCTCCACACCAGTCCTGTGAGAGAGATATTTGAAAGAAGAGGAAACCAAGACCCAGGGAGGTTAATATTTATGACACAATTCCTGCCTAGGGAAAGGGGGGAGGGTGTTACCAATCTTGTGAAATCTAATATAAATAAAACAATTAGGGAACAAAGTAAGCTATTATGTGATTAATTGTGCAATCGTGCATTACGGATAGTAAAGTGGTCTGACGGAAGATGTGGTGGGCTGGGAATCAGGAAATGTTACCCCCTGCCCTGTCCAGCTTGGGTTATATAGTTAACAGACAAGTCTGTTTTAACATAGGTTTGTTAAACACTCTGTGCCAGGATGTGCCTACCGGGGACTTAAGAACAGTAAAACAGGGTCTCTTAAGGACAGTAAAACAGGGTCCCTTAAGGACAGTAAAACAGGGTCCCTTCCAGTCCAGTGACAAGATTAAGTAAACAGGTATTTCAATACAATGAAACAGATGTCATAATAATGATACCCAACACATACAGAGCTTTTACTAAGTGCCAGGGGATCATTTTATAGTACATGTGTATTCATAAGTCTATACTAATAAAAGGGTAATATGCTAATTAGACCGGGAGACCTTCCTGACGTCCTTCCGGACAGAGCCATGGTGGCAGGGCCAAGGCAGAGGCCAGGAGGGGGAGCAGTTGTGGGCAAGCAGGCTGGTGGGGGAGGGCAGTTGGGGGCAAGCAGGCCGGCGGGGGTGGGGGGCAGTTAGGGGTGATCATGCCAGAACGGGGGGCAGTTGTGGGCAATCAGGCCGGTAGGCAGAGTGGTTAGGGGCAATCAGGCAGGCAGGCAGGCAGGCAGGTGAGCGGTTAGGAGCCAGCGGTCCTGGATTGCGAGAGGGGTGTCCACTGCCGGCAGTCAGACATCCCCTGAGGGGTCCCAGATTAGAGAGGGTGCAGGCCGGGCTGAGGGCCCCCCCCCCTGCACAAATTTCATGCACCGGGCCACTAGTATCATATATTCAGTGCAGAGAGTCCAGACAGAGGAAGCACCTTTGGTAAGGCCTGGAAGAGAAAGAGCTCAAAGGCTGTGCAAGGAAAGCAGGTAGTTCTGCTGGCTGGAATGGTAGGTGCACTTAAGGGGTGAGGTAGGAGCAGCAAACAGAGCTGAGCACGCTAAGGAATGAAGACTTTATCCTGAAAGCTGTGAGGAACCATTGGGGTGTTGTTTTGTGTTTCATTGGCAAAGACTGAATCTGCACTGTGTAATGAGAGCTAGACACTTCATCCTCCTTCCCTAGTAGCTGGTTTAAATAGAATCTCCTTGGATTATAAAAGCAATAATTAATTAAAAATTAAAATAAAATAACAGAGAAGTGTATAAGAGGAATATAAAAGTCCATGATCGCCGAAAACCGGTTTGGCTCAATGGATAGAGCGTCAGCCTGTGGACTGAAAGGTCCCAGGTTTGATTCCGGTCAAGGGCATGTACCTGGGTTGTGGGCACATCCCCAGTAGGAGATGTGCAGGAGGCAGCTGATCGATGTTTCTCTCTCATCGATGTTTCTAACTCTCTATCTCTCTCCCTTCCTCTCTGTAAAAAAATCAATAAAATATATTTAAAAAAAAAAGTCCATGATCTCTCTCAGCACCACTCTCATTTTTAAATAAAGTTAATGTATTAAAGATTTTTTAAAAACAAAAGTTGTATCAATCATACATACCATTCATCAACTGGGTTATTGTCATTTAATAATATGTTCTGGACATCTTTCATGTCACTAAACATATATCTATCTCTTTCTTTTTTATAGTTGTCTAGTCTTCCATTCTATGGATATACAGTAAATATTAAACTGTTCCCTATTGATGGATATTGACTCTAAAAATTATCTATATTATAAACAATGCTGTAACAAAAAATCCTCATAGATATAGCCTTACTATTCTGCATAAGTACTCTGTAACAGTACTTCCTAAATTGTAATGTGCATAGGAATTGCCTGAGTATCAGATTAAAATGTGGATTCTGACCCTGCAAGTGATGCCAGTGCTGCTTGTCCACAGAACACACTTTGAGTAACGTGGCTCCATGGGATACAGTCTTAGAGGGTACAATTCTGGTTCAGAGGGTATGTACTTAACTTTGCCAATCATAATAGGTTGAAAAATAGATATGTCGCTATTTTATTTATTTTTTAATATATACTTTTTATTGATTTCAGAGAGGAAGGGAGAGGGAGAGATAGAAACATCAATGATGAGAGAAAATCATTGATCAGCTGCCTCCTGCACAACCCCCACTGGGGATCGAGCCTGCAACCGAGGTACACGCCCTTGACCAGAATCGAACCTGCCACCCTTCAGTCCGCAGGCCGACGCTCTATCCACTGAACCAAACTGGCTAGGGCAAGTTTGCATTTTTTATTATTGCTGAGGTTGTTTCTTTTTATGTGTACATGTATTTGTATTTGTTTATATTTATTTTACAAATTGCCTTTTCAGATCCTTTTTCATGTTCCTGCTATGCCATTAATTTTTTAAAATCCATTTGTTACTTTTTTGATTTGGATATTAACTGTGGCAGAAACTGCCTCTTGCCTATCTGATATTCATTCTTCCCTTTTTTCTCCCCCATAGAATTGTTTTTAAAAGCTTTATTAATATATAACTAACATACCATAAAATCCACCCATTTAAAATGTACAAGTCAATGGCTTTTAGTATGTTCAGTGTTGTGCAACCATCACCACAATTAAATTTAGAAAGTTTTCATTACCCCAAAAAGAAGCCCTCTACGCCTTAGCCATCACATTCCAATCCTCCCACTCCTGCTCCTGGCAACCACTGATCCCCTTTCTGTCTCTATAGATTTGACTATTTTTTACACTTTATGTAAATGAAATCATACAACATGTGGTCCTTTATGACTGGCTTCTTTCACTTGGCATGTCTCAAGATTCATCCAGGCTGTAGTCCATATCAGTATTTCATCTCTTTTAATTGCTGAACAATATTTTATTATATGGTTTTTAGTTTTAAATTCATCTGAAATAATTGTTGTGTGTAGTGTGAGGTAGGGATCTAACATTTTCCAAAAAAGGGAGCCAATTTTCCCAACACCACTCATTGATCAATCCCATCCTTCCCTATTGATTTGAAATACCATCTTTATATATCATTATATATACAATTTCTGAACTATTATTTTCCATTGATCTATATATGTCTGGCTATTTCTGCTTTAGTACCACACTGTCTTAGCTATTGATTTTTTCTGTATATCTATATATATATATAAGGCTAATATGCAAAGTGTCCCCTTAGGAGTTCAACTGGGAGACTGGGAGTTCGATTGCTCGCTATGAAGTGCACTGACCACCAGGGGGCAGCATGGAACAAAGGAAGGCCCCAGCCAGCAGCCAGAAGGCCCTGATTGGCCCTGATTGCCAGCCAGGTCTAGGGACCCTACCCATGCACAAATTTCATGCACCAGGCCTCTAGTCTATATATATAAACCCTAATATGCAAATAGACCAAACAGCAGAACAACTGAACAACCGGTCACTATGACGTATGCTGACCACCAGGGGTCGCACGCGGAACATGGCGGGCATCAGCAGCAGGTGGCAGAGCACAGAACATGGCAGGCATCGGCCGCAGCGGGATGGTGGAGCAGGTGAGCAGGGGTGCCCGACCAAGGTGGGGCACCAGTCACTGTCATCGGGGCAAGCCTCTGGTGGTTACTGAAAATTCTTTGCTTCTGTGCACCGCAGTCCCCCTGGGCGCTTTCACCTGCTGCCAGCATCGGCCCCACTCACACCTCTATTTATCTGTATGGTCAGCGTTGGAGCCGCCACTCGCACCCGCTGCCAGTGTCTGGCGCTGGCCCCAATCATCAGTACAATGAAGTGAATTAGTTATGCAAATAATAATAATAATAAAACCTTGAGAGTATTTGCTTAGGAAGTTTTCAATATTCAGTATTTTTGGAAGTGTCAATGAAGTACTGATGGGGTGGTCATAATAATCTGGGTGGTCATAATAATCTGGCCACTCAGTGTAGGTTTTGGCATGAAAGGAAGGGAGACATTTGAACTTAGAGCTGCAGAAGATGATCCCTGTCTTTGGAATTTACTGAGACTGAGATGGTAGTGAAACATCCATATGGAGGTGTCCAATATACCACTGGAGACGGGGGCTAGAGCTGAGCCTCAAGAGGACTGATCATTTTGCCCCACCATGCCTTCCAGAACTGCAAGCCACAGTACTTCCTTCTCCAATGGCTGTCTTCTCACGTCCTGTGATGGTTACAGGTAGCAATGAGGGACCCAATTGAAAGCAGTCACATTCAGACA